CTGGAGCACCACAGGGACCTGCAGGAACCCGTAGAGACCCCAGCAAGCAAGGGATGCCATGGAGGAGCGGGAGCACCTGGAGAGAGCCAGGCCATCCCCAAGGACCTGGATGGAGGCAGGGGGTCAGAGAAACACCAGAGACACCACGGGAGACCTCCACAGAGCCTGGAGGAGATGGAGAACACGGAGAGATTCAGGGGGACCCCAAAACACGTGGAGGAAATGGGGCACCGCAAGGGAGCCCAGAGATCCTGGAGGAGATGGGGCACGCACAGCCACCCGCGGGGCTCCATGGGGCACCCAGGAGAACCTGCGGGAGATGGGACACCTGGAGAGCCCCGGGGCACCGGCGGGAGATGCGGCAGGCGGGGCGGGGGTCGCGCCCGGATGGGATGGGGGGGTGGTCCCCACGGCGGGGAGCGCTGCGCTCGGGGGCTCTCACCGATTTGGGCTTCTTCTTGGGGGCGAGGTTGTCGTAGAAAGCCTTGGCTTCATCCCAGGGCCGTCCCGGCGCCCCGGCGGGACCCGGCGGCTCCATGGCACCGGCGGCACCGGCGGCACCGGCGGCTCCGCTCCGTGCGCGTCCCGGCAGCTCCCGGAGCCGGGGCCGGCCCGGCGGAACGCGCTTTATATGGCATCCCATGAAGCTCCGGGCTTTCAGTCCACCGGGACACGCGTTAACCTCTTCGGGACCGAGCCGCCGCCGCCGCTCCCCGCCGGTGGCAGCGGGGAGCCGCCGCTCCAGGGAGCGGTGGGGCAGCACCGGGGACGCCGGCTCCCGCTCGCCGCCAGCCGCGGCTCTCTGCTTTGGCATCCTTGGGAGCACGGGGTGCTGCTGAGCGCTGGGAGCTGCGGAGGATGGAGCAGCCCGGGGAGGACGGAGCCTGCTCCGTGCCAGGGTGACCCGTGCCATCGCTGGTTCGTGGGATGACTGCGGGCGTTAATTAAGGCTCGACTCTCCCCGGAGTGCAGCCACGGAGCTGCACATTCAGCTCAGGCTAAAATTTCCACCAGCAGAACCCCCCAGAAGCCCTTGGAGAGCAGCGGGTGCATCCCAGAGACCCAAAGCCAAGAGGCAGGAAAAGGGGCAAGGGATGAAGGATCTCACCTGGAACAGGGCAGCTCCCTGGTGGGGGGAGGTCACACAACAGGGTTTTACCCAAATCCCTGCGCTCCAGCTAAAGAAAAACCATAAAAACCATCCCTACAGACAACAGCCTCGGGGACCCCCGTGTGGTCCATGAGCCCAATCCAACACCACCCCACCTGCACCGAGGTCCAACCAGGAGAGCAGAGCCAGCTGTGTGCTGCTGAGCTGGGGACCGGCTCCAGGAGTCCCAAACCCTTTGGGGGATTCAGCATCATTTCAGCCTCACAGGCTTCCTTTCTTCCTTTCCCCGGGGCCTTTGCAGCTCCCTGCTGGGAAACACCTCTGCTTCCTTTGGGGTGGGCCCTGGAGAAGCAGGAGCTTGGAGGGATCACCGGGCTATTCTTGGAGCTCTCTCTGGAGCTTTTGAGTTGCTGCCCTTTCAGGCAGCAGCCCTGGCACGTCCCCAGCTCCCACAGGGTGGGACAACCTGCCCCATTCCCTCTTTCCCAGGCACTGCCGAGCTGCAAACTCACACGCGTGCTCCTGGAAAGAACAGCGGCCAGAGCTGAGGTGCAGAGATCTCCTAAAAATACACTCCCTGCCGTGGTTTTGGCACCCTCCCATCCCCGTGCTGGCTGCTGCAGGACACACGGAGGGCTGGGGAATTGCAGGATGCAGCTGGGACGGGCCGAGCTGGGAGCTGGCACCGCCGCCCAGGAGCCAGCCCTGCCGGATGGATTCCAGAGGAGGATGAAAATTTGGTGAGAGCTCCTTAGCAACAGTCACTGTCTGTGCAGGCTGCCGAGGGAGGAGAAAGGCCAGAGGAAAATCTGTGCCGGGAAGATGGGGGTGGAGGAAAGAAGGACAAAGATGCACTGAGAGCAGGTCCCAGTTGGTGACAGATGGAGGAGGACAAAGCCACCAGCCCTGAGGGAAGGGCACAGGCAGGGGCCAGCTCCTGGCTGACAAATGGAACCCATTTCCACAGAGGTTTGAGGTCTGGGCCTCCCCACCCCAAAAGTGACATTCTCTTCCCCAGAGCTGCCTGCACGACTGAAGGGTTTCACTTCCACCCACTTTCAAGGTTCCCTGTCCTGAGCCCCACTGTGCTGTCCCCGAGGGTTTCTCCACCCCTTGGGGTGTCACAGGCTCAGGTGAGACCCCTAAAATATTCTCAGAAGTGCAGTGATGTCACCTCTCTGTCCAGCTGCCCCCCAATAAACCATCCAGACGGGGACACCACGCACGGGGGACAGTTTATTTTTCCATTAAAAAAATAAGTGACGACTTCACCATCTCCTAACAGACACCACAGCCACCAACACCACGACGTGCAGACTAAACACCAGCCTGGTGCAGACTAAACACCAACCTGGGGCAGGAGGGGGGGATGCAGCAGGCTGGGAGGGGGGAGGAAGGAGATGAATTTGTTTCTTGTGGCCTCAGAGCTTTGCCAGGAGGCTCAGCAGGGACAGGACCCATCCACACCTCCCCACAGCCCCCATCCAGCACCCAGCTGTCCCCACACCCAGGAGCAGCACCAGGACCTGCCTTCCACACCCACACTCCTGAGCCTGCCTCCAGTTGGGGATTGAAGGCCTCACCTCAATATCCAGGAGGGTCAGAAATGCCACAGAGTGCCCGGGGCAGCTGGGGACATCAGCCACCTGATGGGATGGGACACTGGCCACATCCAGGGCTGGCTTTGGACACTTCTGTTCTCTGCTAGAGTGTCCTGACCAAGCCTGGCTGTTCCCAGCAGGAAAAACAGAGGTGGAAGAGCTTTAGCTGGTGCAAAACCCCACCCTGGCCTCTCCAGGCAGCCTTCCAGGGACTTGCCAGTGAAGGAGGAACCAGGAGCAGGACTTGGGGACTTTTCAGCCTCCCTGGAGACATCACAAGCCATGAAGTGGGGGGAAAGCAGCAGAAGGGGGACACAGTTGGTCTCGGCGAGGATCAGGGAATGGGGCAAGCAGGGAGAAAGCAGCAGGGACGTGGGAACAGCTGGCCCTGGTCAGCCAGGACACACCAGTGGCTGCAGAGCATCCATCTCCGGGGTGGGAGAGGGCTGACAACGCTCAGAGCAGGCTCTGACCTCGAGGGGTGCAACGTGGGCTGCCCAGGATGCAGCCAGAGCAGGGGCAGCAGGAGGGATGGAACGTGGCTCATGCCCGGGGCCAAATGGGGGGGAAAAAACTGGGGATTAAAACCATCACAGGGGCAGAGTTTGGCTGCAGCCAGTCCAGCCCTGAGGCGCAGGGCTCTATTTCTGCATGTCACACTGCAGGAGCAGGACGATGGAGGGGTCGCTCTTGGCGGCCTCCTTGAACTCCTCCAGGGAGATCTGGTCATCCTTGTCCTTGTCCATCTTTGTGAAGATCTTGTCCACTCGCTGCTGGGGTGTCAGCCCGTCTTGGTTCATCCTCATCATGATCACAGTCCCCACCATCTTGTAAATGGCCTGGAGGAGGATCAGAGTGGGAATGAGAGGGAATGTTGGAAGCACACAAGATCCCAGGGCAAGGCAGGGGACAGGGATTGCTGCTTTGTTGGGACCCTGTTCTACCAGATCCACTTGGAGCACCCTTCAGACAACGCTCCGGGTAGGAAAACTGATTCTTTGGTGCTAAAAGGGACCCAATACATGTGAAAAGCCTGGAAAAAGCAAACAACCCCTGCTGGTTTGGAGCACCGGTACCTCAATGATCTCCAGCATCTCCAGGCGCGTGATCTTCCCGTCGCCGTCCAGGTCGTACATCTCGAAGGCCCAGTTGAGTTTCTGCTCGAAGGTGCCCCTGGAGGTGACAGACAGGGCACAGATGAACTCCCTGAAGTCGATGGTGCCGTCCCCGTTCTTGTCGAAGGTGCGGAACGCGTGCTGGGCGAACTTGGAGGCGTCGCCGTAGGGGAAAAACTGCGGGAAGGGGAGAAGAGGAATTGAAATGAGGAGGGGGAACTCGGCATGGGGGCTGCACCTGAAGTGCTCGAGGCAGCACTCAGACCCCCAGCTGGAGCCCACCTTGATGTAGAGCTGCTGGAACTCCTCCAGGTTGAGGATGCCGGTGGGGCAGTCCTTGAGGAAGCCCTTGTACCACTGCTTCAGCTCCTGCTCGCTGAACTCCGTGCTCCTCACCAGGTCATCCAGCATCTCCGGGGCCAGCTTGCTGCTGTGCTTGCCCATGGCTGCCCCTGGGAAGGAAAATCCCCACCAGGCTGGAGAGGGATGGTCCTCCCAGGCCGTCCTCCACCCTGGCTCATCCCACGTCCCTCTTCTCCTTGCTGGAGCTGATCTGCCCGGCTGCTGGGTGTCCACGCAGGACAGCAGCTGTGGCACTGGGAATGTGGCTGAGGCCTTTGCTGCTGGAGGTGCCCAGGAGCTGGCCCTGGGGCAGCCCACCAGCAGCATCACCCCATCCCCTGGGCTCGTTTTGGGCTGCAGGAAAACACTCGAAAAGCAACTAAAAATTCAGAATTCTCCCCATGGCCTTTGCCAGAGCATGATCATACAATCCCAGAGTGGTTTGGGCTGGAAAGGACCTCATTAATTCCAGCCACACTGCCATGGGCAGGAGCACCTTCCTCCAGCCCTTCTCTAAGGATGGCACAGTGAAGATTCTGCCTTTAGGGCACACAAAAACCTCCCTGGCACCAGCATCCAGCGGGGGTGGCCATCCTGCCCCTCGGTGGGGACGGGGCCTGGCCGGGGGCTGCAGCAGCAGCAGGGAGCCCTGGCAAGGCCCGGCTGTGTGGGCAGGGAGCGGAGCCGCTCGGATAACGCGCCGTGCCCGCTCCCACGCAGCCTTGGCTGCCGGCGCCGCGCAGCCGGAGCGGCAGATGGTCCTCCAGGAGCTCCTGGAGCTCCTCGCTCCATGAAGTTGAGGAGAAGTTCACCTGGAGCCCGACCAATGCCATCTCCCTCCCCACCTCAGGGGTCTCACGTCCTGGTCGTGTGGGCTTGGGGCACACGGGGGGACCCTGGGGTGGGGGATGTGGGGTTCCTTGTGCTCCCAGCAGATCCCACAGGCAGCAGCTCCTTCCTGCCCCATCATCCCACCAGCATCTGTCACCGTCTGCTGCAGCAGCACCAGACCCGCCAGCCCTCGGCGGCCCAGGGAACGTCCAGACACCCACAGAGCTTCCCCAGCGACCCCAGCTCGGCCCCACGAGCCCCCCAGCACCACGGTCGGGTTCTAAATTGCTGGCATCGATCACAAACCATGCCAGGCAGCCGGCATGGGCAGACCTGCCATGATCCGAGTCCTCCCGCGGCAGGAGGACGCAGCCCCCAGCACAGCTCAGCCCTCGGTGGCCGGGATGCCAGAGCAGCATCCTGAAGTCCACAGCCCTCGATTCCCTTCTCCAAGCGGCACACAGCCATGCCGGGAGGGAAGCACACGCCAGCTGAGCAGCGGCTGTCCCAAAACCCGACGGAGGGGTGGCACCACCAGTGTCCCCCCAGCTGCATGCACCCCAGCCGGGAGCAGCACCCCTGCATGGCACCCCAGGGAGCAGGGACGGGCCCGGGGGATGGGAGGGGGCTCGGGGATGCTCTGCCCACCCGCACTATGGGATAGCTCCGGGACACCGGCCCCGGTACCCGCGGGAAGCGGCTCCCGGTGCGGCACCTGCCCCGACGGCGGCTCCGCACCGGGGGGGAGGCGGCTCCCGGCCCCGACGGCCCTTACCTGCGCTGCGGGCGGTGGCGGCGGCGCGGCGGGGCCGGGCGGGGCGCGGAGCCGCTGCCGGTACCGGAGGGGCCGCGGTCCAGCCGCCGGCTCAGCCCCCGCCGCTCCCGCCCCTCTTGTAGCCGCGGGCCCCCCGCCCCCCTCGTGCATTGGCTGGGAGAGCTGTCAGTCAGGCGGGGAGGGGGTCGAGGTGGGATACTGGGGGGTACTGGGGATGCTGGGGTGGGAAATGGGGCCGGGATGCTGGCACCGGGGTGCAGGGGGGTGCGGGCGGTGGGATCCTGGAGGTGCCGGTCCCTCCCTGCCTGCACTGGGGACACGGGGACACGCCAGTGGCTCTCCGCGTGGCACAGGCACGGCTGAAGCACAGCGGAGAGAGGGATAAGAAAGCCGCTTTGATCTCCAGAACCAAAGGTGGAATGTTTCCATGGAGATCGCCGAGCGCTTTTCCCGGTGGCCTTGGCATCCTCCCAGTGCCACTGGGCCCGTCCTAAATTGCGCCTCTGCACCCGGTGCCCACTGAGCCCGGATGAAGTCTCCAGCCTGCCTGGGCTGCTCCCCATCCCATCCCATCCCATCCCATCCCATCCCATCCCATCCCATCCCATCCCATCCCATCCCATCCCATCCGGGCCGTGGGGTGCCGTGGGGTGCTCAGCCCTCACCTGCCCTCAGGTGCACCCACCTTTTCTGCAGGGGTGGCTGCAGGAAGCAGCAGAAACTGCCCCGGCTGGAGGTGAGACAGGGTTGGGTTACAAAAACCACAAATACTTGCGGCAGTGGGGCTGAAGGGCTTCATCCTCGCCCACCAGGGGGGCAGGAGGGCTGGGACCCCCCTACAGCTGGGTGTGACATCCCTGTGCCCTGTCCCTGGCCAGGGCTGCATCCCACCTGGAATGAGGTGATTCAGCCCCACGGATTTTGGGTCACCTCCACAGCCTCTGCTGGGCACGGGACGTGGTTCCGTGTGGCCCCAAAGCCTCTCCGTGAGCGTCCCCGAGAGCCGGGGAGGGGATGGAACCCCCCGGCCCCGCTGGCGGATCTGGGATGTGGAGTAGAGAAGACACCAATTAGCAGCTCTGCAAACCGCCCGTGCCCGGGCTGCTCAGGGGGACTGAAAAATTAATGAGAGCTTAATTGAAGCAGCGCAGGCTGGAGGGCTGAGACCGACCCCGCTCAGCTCAGGGGAAGGGGGATCCACAGGGGTGTGGGGCGGCTGGAAGAGGCACGGGAGCCCCCAGTGACAGGGATGCCCTTGGGATGAGGATCAGGGTGACTGTGTGGTCCTGGGATTTCCTTTTTTGGGGTCCTGACACCCCAAGTCGTGGTGCTGGGATGATGCCTGGGGGTCATGCAGGGCTGACCCAGCCCTGGTCAGGTTTGGTCAGAGCACCCGCTGGAGCGCCCAGCTGAGCCCAGCACCCAGACAGGGGCACCCCAAAACCTCCATGAGCCCAGGCTCGAATGGGATGTTGGCCCTGATTGCAGAGGGGACAGCAGGGTGTCCTGGGTGGGGGGACACCGCTGTGCAGGCGACAGCTTTTCCCTCCCCACTCTTGCAGCAGCAGCCCCCCAACACCCATCCCCGGGCCGCAGAGCTGCCAGGGCGCTGCCGATCCCCAAAAACCTCCCTCGCCAGCGGCTGCAAGGAATGCAAAGGGCTGCAGCTTCCCCCAGCGGCTACGGGCTGCAGCAGCACGGCCCGAGGGGGGGGGGGGATGTGCCCGATGGGAGCGACCCCGCAGCCTCCTCTGCCTCGGGCTGCTGCAGCCGGCTCAGCCCCCCAAAAACTGCGGGGGGCTTGGGGAGCAGGAGTCACGGCTGCTTATCCCGGAATCCCGACGGCTCTTGTCCCTCTGCACGGCCAGGTCACCCAGCGGTGACACCGCCGGTGCTCGGGGCGCTGGTGGCTCAGCCAGCCCCTCTGAGACCCCCCGAGCACAAAAACCCCTGTAAAGGGGTGAGGAGCTGCTGTCACCCACCCCGTGCCCCTGAGGGACAGCTCTGGGTGCCACTGGGCAAGCTGCACCTGGGGTCACCCTAACACCCTTTTGTTGTCCCCACTGCCATGCCCAAGCCTGGCCTGGGAAAAGGGGGGAATCGGGGGTAGAAAAGCAGAAATAAACAAATTTTGGGGTTCCTTTCCTCCTACATCACCCCTGAGGGAGCAGTTCCGGACTGGTTCGTGCCACCCAAACCCCTTCTGCCCCGTGCTGGGGGAGCTGATGAGGCTCAGAGGGTGCTGCCTGCCCAAAACAGGGGTCCCGGCACGGCTCCCTGGCTTGTCCCGGCTGCGGTGGCACCAGGTGGGGTCGGTGCTTGTCCCCCTCCCCCGAGAGGGGACCGGGGGCAGCGGTGCCACCCACGGGCCGGGGCAGCAGTGCAGGAACATGTGCGTTTTCCCCTCGCCCTGCTGGCAGCTGGGGCTGGCTCTGACGGTGGCGGGGGCGACCCTCTCGATGCCCCCGCGTCCCCCAAAGCCAGGGAGCGTCCCCCAAAGCCAGGGAGCGTCCCCCAAAGCCAGGGAGCGGCAGCCGGAGCTCTCTCGCCGCCAGGCCGCAGCGCTTTGCCGGCCGGCACGCAGGGGGTTAAGCATCCCCGTCTCCCTCACACTTGAGACGTCACCGTCACCAGTGGCGTGGGGGGGCCGGGGGGCTATGGTGGTCTTTGTGGTGCATTCGGCAGCTGGCGCAGGGCGGCTCACGCACACGGCGGGCGGCTCGTCCCCGCAGCCCGCGCCCGCCAGCATCCGCAGGCTCCCGGCCGCCGCCTGCCCACGCCGCGGGCTCCCACCGGCACGGTGAGCGCGGGGACGGGGCTGCCACCGGGCAGGGCGAGCCGTCCCCCCGGGACCCCGCCGGCAGCCCCTGGCAGCCGCCCCTCTCTCCGCTTCGCTCCCCCGGCGCGGTGCTGGCGGGGACCGGGGGTGGTGGGCTGGGTGCCGGTGGGGTGGGCGATGCCGGGGTGGGTTCGCCCCACCCGGGGCTGCTGCAGCCCCGCGGGGGTCCCCGGGTGGGTGCGGGAGCACGGGTGGGTGCCCGCCCGCGCCGGCGGGGTGCTGCGGCTCGGCTCCTGCGGTAAAGCCGGCTGCTCAGCCGCTGCCGCAGCCAGGCACGGGAGAGCCCCCTGCAGCCCCCGGCCCCACTCGAGGGGGGCTCAGCCCCATGGGGGGCTCGCACATCCCTCCGATCAGGCAGCTCCCCAAACCGGGGAGGGGGGGGGGGGGGACCACCGCGCCGAGACCCCCAACTCCACCCTGCTCAGGGCTGGGGGTGCCCCGGCTGATCCTGGGGTGGGATCTGGCCCCGGCACCCCGATTCCCAGGATGAGCTGTGCCCCCCGTGGAAAATCCTTCGGGCACCGCGTGCCCGACCCTGCGGCGGCTGCGGCGGTGCCGGCGCGGCCACGGGCGGGGGGCGGCGGCGGGGGCACCCGGTGGGCACCCGGTGGGCACCCGGTGGGCACCCGGCGGGCGGGGGGCTGCGGGGAGCGGGGCCAGGTCAAGGGGAAGGGGCAGGCAGCCCCCGGCCGGAGCCGCGGCGCTGCACCAGGCTGCGGTGCCCAGGGCGATGCTGCGCCGGCAGCGAAAGGGGCACAGCCCCAAAACGGGGTGGCCGGAGCCCGGGGGCGTCGCTGCCCCTCCGGCGCGGCCAGCCCGGGCACTGCCGGCTCGCGGGAGGGATGCTCCTGGCTGCAGGATTTGCTTCTGCCTGGAGCAGGAGTGGGGGTTCACCCCATCGGCCGGGTTGTCCCCGTGGGGGTGACACCCGCCGTGGGTCCCCGTGGGGCAGGATGCTCGCGGGGTGCAGGGAGAGGCGGCGCTGCGGGAAGCGGGGCAGGTTCTGGAGCAGGGCTGAGGTGCAACGAGGCCACCGCAGGGAGGGACAGAAGCCGGGGCCACCTCGGGTGTGGCTGGGGACAGGGAGCCTGCTGCTCCCAGCCCTGCTGTGGCAGCGCGTCCCTCTGTGAGCGCCGCCGGTTTGGGGGTGACTCTCCCAGCGGATTTGGGGCTCACAATTCCCCCAGCTCCGCAGTGGGCAGCCTGCACTGGGGGGAGCCCCTCGCCCTCCCCGCAGCCCCCCTGGGAGGGATGTGCTGTGTCTCCCCGGGCCAGGTGCCACCGGGGGGTTTGAGCTCCTGGGACCAAGGAAAAGGCGTAAAACAGGGGCTGAACCCCAGGAAGAGCCACTCCCCAGCCCAAGGGGCTGCAGCAATCCCCAGACCAGCCCCTGGCACCAAAGCCCTGCACCACGGCTCTGGAGTCACCCCGGGGTGTCCTCACATCGGGAACCCAGCCGTGCCCCTTCCCTGGGCACAGGCAGAGGTCAGCAGTGCCAAATCCCAGCCCCACGCCGCCCGTCAAGGACAACGGTGGCACGGGCACAAGGATGCCCACACCCTCGTCACAGCCTGTGTGCCAGCAGCAGAGCAGAGCAGGTGCCAATCCCCCACCCCACCGACTGCCCTGGCACCCAGGGACCCCCCCAGCACCCCCATCACCCCAGGGATCCCCCCCCAGCACCCTTTCAAAACACCCCAGTGCTCAGCAGGATGAACCTCGGGGTCACTGCACCACAGCAGCTCTGAGTGTGTTTGGTGTACCCCGGGTACCCCAAAAACCGGCTGCTTGTTGGGCTTGTGCAGCCCCAGTGCAAAGCCACCCCTTAGTGGCCCTGGGAGGAGGAAGAGGAGGAAGAGGAGGAAGGCAGAGCCACCACTGCTGATGCCAAGGGGCTGTGCTGGGGCTGAGTGGGGGGCTCTGGGCTGGGGGGGGGGGGTCACAACCCCATTCCAGGCACGAAGCCACCCCATCCCTCCCCTGCTGCTCCAGCTCCCCCTCTCCCCTTCCCCAGCCTCATTAATTAAACCCAAGCGCTTAATTACAACCTGCTGATCCCGCTCCTGCTTCCCGGTGCCTGCTGACACCGTGGGGTGATTCCCGACCCCCCCTCATCCCGGTAGGAAAGGTGGGATGCAGGGAACTGGGGGAACATCCCGTTGCCTGCAGGATTTGGGTTGTGGCTCATCGGCGGCATAAAGGGATCTTCACACAGCGCTCAGCAAAGAGCAAAACCCAACCACTGGAGCTGGGAAAGTCATCCCTGGGGATCTTGGCCTCTCCAAGGAGAGATGGGCACGGATGGCTCCACTCTGGGGCTATCCCCGAGCTGCAGCAGGTGCCACAAGGGGTGAAGAGGGACGGGGATGCTCAGCCCGATGCCTGCTGAGCTCCCGGTGGCAGGAAAAAATACCCAAGGTAAATAAGGTGAAGGCTGGCGGCAGCATGAGATGGAGGGGAGATCCAGTGTCCCAGCGTGCTTCCCCTCCTGGTCACCCACCCTTGGGTCCCCAGGGCAGGGTCAGTGGGTGCCCTGACCCTCTCGCCCTCCTGCCCGCAGCTCCCTGCCGGCCCATGAAGTGACGCAGGCGGGTGGCACAGCCCCTGCTCCTGCCATAGCCACCGCTGCCACCCCAGGCACTGAGGTAAGGACCCGAGGGCATGGCCCTGGGGGGGGTGGGATGTTCTGGTGAGGGCACCAGACACCCAAATCGGGCCTGTGGGGCACAGTTCCCACCTGGGGTCTTCCCCTGTCCATGGGGGATGCCCAGCACCATAACCCAGGGGAATGGCATGGCACCATGGGGGTCACCTGGGGCTGCCCCCCATCCCTTGTGGGTGCCAGGCTTGGGGAACTGGGGTGTCTCAGGGGTGGCAGCCTGGCCAGGGGTGCCCCAGGAGCACAAGGCTCCCAGACCCTCAGCCCTCTTCCCTTCCCACCTCTGGAACTGGCAGCAGTGCTGGGAGAGCTGTCACATCCCAGGGAATGCTCGCAGCTGCGTGCCCAGCCAGGGGGCATCGGGGTGGGCACAGGGAGGTGCCGTGGTGGCGGCCCTTGGGGGTGCCAGGGTGTCTGGCTGGTGGCACCGGTGCTGTTCCACTCTGTTCTGTTTCTCTCGCTCAGGTCTGCTGGCCATGGGCAACCTGATAAAGGTATTGGGCAAAGATTTAGAAAACTGTCCTCATTTTTTCCTGGATTTTGAAAGTAAGTCCCATGAGCAGGGTGGGCATGGGGAGGGCACCAGGGCTGCCACCACCGCTGCTGTCCAGAGGATGGGGACAGACACAGTGTCCCCGAGCAGCCCCGTGTCCCCAGCAGACTGAAAAAGTCTCCAAAATGGGGCAGGGGACCCCAGGGAATGTCCCCATCCCTCAAAGAGTGGGGCAGATGTCCTGGCAGAGTGGTGGGATGCAGGGTGCAGCAGGACCCGGCCCGGGACCACCTCAGGCACACACCCAGCGCTGTTACTGGTGGCGCTGGTGGCCGTGTGGCACGGCTGGTGACACCGCCAGGGCAGGGGCAGCCTGCGGGCCGGGAAAGGAGGAGGGGATGATCCGTGCCACCTGCGCTGCTGCGAAAGGTCAGTGCGGTGGCTGCAGCCCGCACCGCGGGATGGGGAGCAGGGACCTGCCTCAGTTTCCCATGGAGCTGGGCTAAGGGCCAGGAAAGGACAGCTCTCGGCCCCCCAGGCTGGACGCGGGGCGGTGCAGGACACGGTGGCCGCTGTGGCAGGATGCCAGGCCGGGCACAGCCCCAGGGCTCCCCTGGTTCCCGCAATTCCTCCCAGGGCACAGCTCCGAGCAGGAGCGAGGAGGGTGAAAAGAGTGCAGCGGCATCTTCTCACCCCCAGAGCGGCCCCAGTTCCATCCCCAGCGGGGACAGGCCGTGCACAGCTCCCCACGCCACCTCTGACTCCGGGACCCCCCAAAATACCCAGGGCTGGGGTCACACAGCCTCCCACTCCCACGGCGAGGGACCTTCCTGCTCCTCCTGGCTCCTTCGAGGCGGCACAAACTCCTCCTGCCTCCAGTCCCCTCCACAGCCCCCTGGCACGGTTCTGGGGGCTCCCCAGGACCCCTCATTTCGGGGCTGGCTCTGCACTAGAGTAGGGGCTTGGCTGTAGCCAAGACTCCAGGGACTTCAGGGACCTCCCGGCGGCTTCTCCTCCCTTCGCTCCTCCCTCTCCATCACCCCATCCGCCAGCGCTCATCACCATCGGGGGGGAAGAGGCTGCACCCGGGGCCGGAGCGGCCGCGGGGTCACCCCCGGAGCCCCCCGAGCCCCCGGGGAGCAGCGGGGGGAGGACGGGGCTCCGGCCGCCGCCGCTGCCCGCAGCCCAGCACCTCTTCCCCGGGCTCCACCTCACCATCATGCTTTTTTCCTCTTGTTTCTTCTCTTGCAGGTTTCACATGGGGAACCTTCTAAAAGTGTTGACTTATAACGAACTTGACCAAGGCCCTAATTTTTTCCTTGACTTTGAAAGTGAGATGGGATTTTTATTTTCCGTTTTTGTTCCGTACTTATCCTGAGTTCCACATCCACACCATTTTGAGTTCTCTGTCCCCCCCCCACCGTCGTCGCCCATCGCATCGCGCCCATCCCAGACGTCCTCCCCCCACCTTTGCCATCCGGGGGTGTCCCCGGGGAGGGGGGCCAGGCCCGTGGCCCGGGGGCTGTCGCTCCGCACCTCTCCCCCGGGGCACTTCGCAGCCTCCAGGGGCCGAGGGCTGCTCGGGGAGCCCTGGCGGGCAGCAGGACCGCGGGCACAGGACTCAGCCCCGGCCGCCCCCCGCTGCACGGCTTGGCTTGAGCTGGGCCGAGGAGAACGGAGCAGGGGGACGATCCGGCCACGAAGGGCTGCGGGCCGGCGGGGCAGCCGTGCCGTGGGGTGCTGGCACCCCGCTCTGGCCCCGGCCGGCCCGGGCCCCGCTCAGAGCCCTCCGGGTTTCTCTCCCCGGGGCGCTGCCCTGCAGATGCGCAGCCGACCGAGGCGGAGACGGCGGTGTGGAACCAGGTGAACGCCGTGCTGGAGGAGGCGCAGACCGTCCTGGCCGAGCTGCAGTCCTACACGGGCGCCGGGCAGGAGATCCGAGAGGTGGGTGCAGCCCCGCTGCCCGCTGCCCGCACAGCCTCCGTGCCTTGGGGCAAGCGCTGGCGCTCTCCCCTCCCAGGCCATCCAAAACCCCGGGGACCTGCGGCTGCAGGAGCGCGCCTGGAGCGCCGTGTGCCCCCTGGTCGCCAAGCTGAAACGCTTCTACGAGTTCTCCCTGCGGCTGGGTGAGTGCCGGAGCTCCCCTGCATCCCCTCCGTGCCCCCCGCATCCCCCCACCCCGGAGGTTGCGGGAGTCCTGGCCGTGGAGTGTGTGCTGAGCTCGGGATGCGGCGCGGTGCCTCAGTTTCCCCTCGGGGGTTTGGAGGTGCAGAGGGGGACACGGAGTGCTCTGTCCCCAGAGAACGCCCTGCGGAGCCTGCTGGAGGCTCTCACCAGCCCCCCCTACGCCCCGACCCAGCACCTGGAGCGGGAGCAAGCCCTGGCCAAGCAGTTCGCCGAGATCCTGCACTTCACCCTCAGCTTCGATGAGCTCAAGGTGCCTCCCTGTGAGGGGCGACAGCGAGGGGGGGTCCCCACACCGGGACTCCGCCTAAGCTGTGAGCCAGCAGAGTCCCCTGGGACCCCTAACCCTGGTGTCCCCCCCTCAGATGACCAACCCTGCCATCCAGAACGACTTCAGCTACTACAGACGGACCATCAGCCGGAATCGCATCAACAACCTGCAGGTGGGAGGACTCTGCTGCTCTCCCGGCCAGGGGTGGCCTCCCCCAGGGGTTCACAGGGCTGGGAAGGGCTTGGGGGGGCTCAGCCACCCCAGTGACCCCCGTCACACCCCCCCCAGCTGGATGCAGAGAGCGAGGTGAACAACGAGATGGCCAACAGGATGTCCCTGTTCTACGCCGAGGCCACCCCCATGCTGAAAACACTCAGCAATGCCACCACCAAGTTCGTTTCGGAGGTGAGGGGGCTTGGGGGGACCCTCGGGGTGGGCAGAAACTCCCTCCAGCCACCACATGTGGGGGAAACAGCAGCTGGGACCTGTTGGGTTGCAGAACAAGACCCTCCCGATCGAGGACACGACCGACTGCCTGAGCACCATGGCCTGCGTGTGCAGGGTGATGCTGGAGACCCCGTGAGTGCTCCACTTTGGGTTTTGGGGGGACATCTCGATCCTGGGGTCCCTCTGCCACCCTGCCCAGGCTCAGGCAGCCTCTCCCCTGGCACAGGGAGTACCGGAGCCGCTTCACCAACACCGAGACCCTGCTCTTCTGCATGAGGGTGATGGTCGGCGTCATCATCCTCTACGACCACGTCCACCCCGTGGGGGCCTTCGCCAAGACCTCCAAGATCGACGTGAGTGGTCTTGGGGTCGCAGCTGTGGGGTCGCAGCCATGCCACTCACCCCAGGGGTCCCTCTCCTGGCTTGAGCAGCGAGGAGGAGGATGGGGAGGAAGGGGGAACCTCAGGGATCTCACAGCCCCTTCTCTCTGCCCCCCTCAGATGAAAGGCTGCATTAAAGTCTTGAAAGACCAACCCTCAACCAGCACCGAGGGGCTCCTGAACGCTCTGAGGTGAGACGGGGGTTTGGGGACACCGCGGGGAGGTGGCTGTCACACCGGAGCAGGTGGAGGGCTGTGACCTGCGTCCCCTCCCCGTCCAGGTACACCACTCGGCACCTCAACGACGACACCACGTCCAAACAGATCCGGGCCCTGCTGCAGTGAGCGCGGGGCGGCCGCCGCAGCCGCACGTCACCGCGTCGCCGACGCCCATGACCATACAGCTCATTTTGTACAGAGGGAAAAGGGACAGCGAGGAACGCGCAGGAATGTTGAGAGCAAAGCAAATCCAAACGGCCCCGAGCCGCCCTCCCCTGCCATGAGCTCCTGTCCCCTCTTCCCACCCCCAAATCAGCACCCGCTCCTGGACACGGGGTGTGGGTGGCACCGTGGGGACACCGGGCAAGGGAAGTGCTGGTGGGGCTGGCAGCAGGGTGCCCATGGCACGGGGGCACCTTGGGGAGGGGGCAGGTGCTGCCCCTGTCCCCATCCTGGTCCCCAAGCAGAGGAGGAGGGAGAGGATGAGGAGGAGGAGAAGGATGAAGTATGCCTGTGGATCTGCACTGACTCTGGAGGAAACGGCTCAGTCTCACCTGGTAGATTTTTAATATGAGAAATTAAATCCACACTCACCTCTTCTACATTTTTTTTTGGGTGTGAAATAAAAACGACATTTAATCTGTTGGTGGCTGGAGCGGGGCCGTGTCTCTGCTGTGTCCCAACCCACATCAGGGACCGTGTCCCCTCTCTGTGACACCCGCGGGACAAATCCCACCTCTCACAGTGACAACAGCCCCGGTACCCCCGAGTCAGCCCAGCCAGGCCCCCCTCCCTCCCCAGTTCAGCTGCAGCCCGGGAGGATGGGGCTGCTGGAGGCCGCTCCTGGCTGCCAGGGCCGGTGTCTTTGCCGGCAGATGGCCCTGTGACACCGCGACAGCGCGGCCGCACCCGTGCCGAGCCAGCCCCACCCGTGCCGAGCCAGCCCCACCCGTGCCAAGCCAGCCCTGCGGGCACCCACTCAACCTCGCACCCCCCCGAGCTGGGGGAGACCCCCGCGGGGCCGGACCCCGTGCCAGCCCTTGGCTGGGGCTGTGCCACCCCCGGGGGACCCCCAGCACTGTCCTCAGGGTGGCTCGGAGCCGAGTCCGCTGGGATTTGGGGCGCTGCCAGCCCGCTCTTCCCGCCGCCTTTCCCGCCGGGCACACGGCAGCTGCGGGCACCGTGCCCCGCTCTGCCCTGCCCGTCCGGGGTGGGGGTGACAGCGGACACCCCACGGGTGACACCACAGCCCCAGAGCCTCGTGCGAGGCGGCTCTGGCAGGCTCTGCCTCAGTTTCCCCGCTGCGTGTGCTGGGGGGGCACACGGGCAGCGCGCCCATTCAACCCCCGGGATGGAATTCCTCGGTGCCACCGTGGGGACACCCACGCCACCCACCTGCAGCCCCCATGTCCCCAGACCTCCACGGAGCCCTTCCCCAGACCCAGGGCTGCCCAGAGGGGACAGAGACAGGGGGGGGACAGCCCCCAGCCCTTTGGATCCCGGCATTTCCCGGGCCCGGTGCCAGGATCCCGCCGTGCCCGGCCGGGTTTGGCGCCCGCTCCGCCGGGACGGGACGGGGACACGCTCTTGCACAACCCCGGCCAACAGCTCCTTTTTATTTTTAGGGCTCTTGCAACATTTGGCTTTGCCACAGCCACCCGAAATGCTGCCAAAGCATGGGATGGGCCGCTCCCGAGCCGCTCCACGCCCCAGCGTGCCTCAGTTTCCCCGTGAGTTCTTTCCACCCACTGGCGCTGGGATGGCAGCGGTGCCAGCCAGCCCTGCTGAGCCCAAATGGACCCCGCGGGTCCCGTTAAATCCCCCCGGTGCTCCACCCGGGAGCTGAGGACGGGGCCGGGACAGGCTCGGTGCGGTGGCCGCAGCTGCTGCGTGTCTGCCGGAGCTGATGGCCCCGGGTGACACCGTCCCCCAGACGGTCCCTGGCCCGTCCCAGGAGCGTCCCTGCAGTGTGGGAACTGGGCTGGGAAGAGGCAGGACAGCGTCACCAGCCGGAGTCAGGGGACAGGCGGATCCTTTAAAGCCACCAGCGAGCGCGGGGCACAGACACCAGCTGGTCACCGGTGCTGGGAGAGGTGGCAGCTGCGTCCCGGTGTCCCAGCGCCGGTCGGGTCCTGGCACAGAGCCCGTAACATCCCCCCTGTGGTGCTTGGGAGGGGAGGAATGAGGCCAAATTCGTGCCACATCCCTGCCCTGACCGCCCCCACCGTGGCACTTTTCAGGGCAGAGCAGGTGGCACATGCCACCCTGGCAAAGGGCAGCGCTGCACGGGTGAGGCTTTTCCTGTGGGAGCGTTTTAGAGACAAAACCGGGCGAGAAAAAGGAACCAGAAGGGATGTACACCACCTTGATCATCAGGGACATGTGAGCTCAGAGCTCTGGGGACAGTGCCACCCGTGAGGGCAGTAATCGGGGGCAGCTCGGTGCCCTGGCAGGGAGCAAACAGCGGGATGCAGATGAGGAGGTGCTGCCCGTGCACCTCTCGCTGCTGGACACGAGGATTTGGGCTGCCACGGTGCCGGGGGGACCCCCGGATCTGCCTCCGTGCCCGGGGGACCCCCGGATCTGCCTCTGTGCCCCTGCCCGGGGACAGGCGGTGCCACCGGGATGGTGCCCGGTCAGCCAGGACACGGAGCTCCCCCGGCTCTCTGCTCCGTGCTCAGCCAGACCAGGGTGCCCAGGACTTTAACTGATGGCGAGCCAAGCCACGCCGGGCCTGTTTTCTAATCCCAGTGTAATTAATGACCTTATCTTTGGCCAAAGCCATTTAGATTAAGTGGCTGGTGTGATGGGCTCGGCGGCTCCGGCTGCACAGATGGAAGAGCCGCGTTTGTCTGGGGATTAGCGGAGGGCAGATGGAGCGAAGTGCCATTCCCCATCCCCAAACCGGCCGGCACCGACAGCAGCCTGAAACCTGAGACCACAACAACTTTCTCAGCGAGCCCTGCCTGGGACTGGCGAGCGATTCCTGCATTGTTTGTCCCTTCTGCAAGGGCCCAGAGCAGCAGGAGATGCTGCCAGCACCAGGAACTGGTGTGACCCTGCCAAGAGCTCGATCCCAGTCCCTGCCTCCTGGAGACCTCAAAACACACCGAGAGTGACCTCCCTTGGAGAGCAGCCCCTGGCAGGAATGATGCCCTGGCTCTGCTCAAATAAACTGTTCTCAGTGGCAGCCCCCAGCTCTCCAAGGAAGAAAACCCACCTGTATCGTGGTGCTGACAGCATCAGGGCACGTGTCCCCCCTCCACTGCATGGACAAGGAAGTGTGGCACTCCCTGTTCACCTGGAACACCTGAGAACCAAGGGGGAAAAGGTCTGGGAGCCCTTGGTCAGCACAGCCCATCCTGAGCAGGCTCCTGAAGAGAACAGGCTACTGTGGAAGAGGAATAACACGAGTCCACGGGGATAACAAAGTTCATATTAAACCGATTAAGGATATTTAATCCACCTCTAACAGTATGGACATCTGACTGCACTCAGGAACCCGAGCAGATAATCCCAGCCCTCCTTCCCAGTGCTGCCCCAGTGATCCCAGCCTGGCCTGGGGAATGACTCAACATCTCAGAGCTGTCTGTCACCAACCAGCTCAGCACGTGGGGCTTCACTCCCAGCTCACACTTGGTCCATCCAGCCTGGGAGAACACAATTCCACGACCTCGTGGCCACGTGCTCCAGCACTGGGCTGAGCCCACATCTGTGGTTGAGTCAGCATGGATGGCAAACAAGTCTGGGCTGGAGAAGAGGCTCAGCTGGCAGTGCACAGACCCAGCAGCACCGCAGTGCCCGCCATTCCAAAGCTGGCACCCAGCTCTGCCCTGCACATTCCCTTCTGTCCGAGCTCCCAACCCCATCACACAGCCCAAGGCAGCCGCCCCACGGGGCACCACAGGAATAATTCCACACTGAGGAACACAAACCAGAGGTTTGATCTAATCCCCACCAAAGCAGGAATCTCCAGAGCCCGCGCCGGCAAATCCACCCACGCAGCTCTTCCCTGGCAGGATGAGCCCTGGCTCTTGCCACATGGCACAGCACAAGGCAAAACTTGTGCCCTGCCACCAACCCTCAAACCCTCCCAGGTTTGCATTTGCTGGGAGAATCCCAAACGGCCTGGAAAGGCTGTCCTGGTTTCACCAGAGCGGCATTCCAGGCACAAACGGCACTCACATCCTGCAGGAACAACAATGGGACACCAACTGCCTGGCGGACACAGCACCAGGAATTTGCTGCTCAGTAGCTTGGATTCAAATTCGGGGCCAGTTCCCAGTGCCAAACCACAGTGTAACCCTCCCTCCGGGGAATTCTGCCTTAACTAGGACAGGCTCATCTGTTGCAAACTCGATGAGATCATTTCAAGTTCCTGTTTAACAGGTGCCAGCTCCTCCTGCACCTGCTGCGTGCACAGGGCTCCCTGCCCCCACCAGGCTGGGAACATCTGCTCAGCTCCCTCAGGAGCTGTGGAAAAGGTGACTGGGAGAAGGAAAGAAGGAACCAGCTCTCCTGCCCTGTGCCCAGAGCAGGGAACCAGGGCCAGGTAGAATCAGAGAGCAAGGAAACCGCGCTTGTTAACAGGGAGGGGAACCCACAATAATCCTGCAACTTTATTTGCATGTAAAAGAACAGAAAAAATAAAATATCCTCTCCACAATAAAGGCAGGCAGAGCTCGCTCGGCTCCGGAGCTTCGCTCCCGGCCAGGCTGGAGGAGTCGGGGTATTTCTGTCTCTGAGATCTACACAACCACATACCAGCAGCTCAGCCATTCCAAGGATGCAGCTCTGGCAGGAATTCACACTTTGCATGGGAGAAGCTCCCAGCAGCCTTGCCCCGGGCCCAGCCCGTTCCAGGCAGGGCTGGGGGAGCATGGGAACGCAGCGGGGCGAGGCCACATGAAGAGGATCCGATGCAGCCGGCGGCCTTTGCCGTCACACACCTGCTTCACCCCAAAAAAAAATGACTCAGCTCCTCTGTTCAAGGCTGCCCAGGACTAAGGAGCTTCCTCTCCGTGCAGGTGGATGCACAGCTGCTCCCTCGTCCAGGCTTAAGGCAAAGGCAGGCTGCCATCCTCGTCCGAGGTCTCTGCGTCCCCACTGTGCCCCACGGTCCCTCCGGCACGGCTGGACTCCTCCAGCTTCCTCCTCTTCTTCAGGTGGTGCAGGTGGGATTTGGAGCGTGTGTGAGCTGGAGGAAGAGGCAAACACAGCGTTTAGTCTGTGGAATTTGGAGGAGGAAACAGCCGAACCTCCCACGCAGGGCAGAGCACCCTCCCTTCCCAGCCTCCCGCACAATTCACTCCCGAAGAAAAGCTAACTCCCAAAAACCCTGCCCTGGCTGCTCCTCTGGACACTTCCAGGCCAAACTATCAGGGCTCAGAAGAAGCTCCCAAACCTCCTCAGGAAGAAGTGAGAGAGGGAAAAATCCTGGTTCTGAGTAAGCAGAAGATTCCAGGTTGTCACTCCCAACAAGTCTGCTGCCAGCCTCCCCAGGGAAGAGGGAATGTGCTTCCCAAGAGGTGGCACTTTGCAGGCTGCAGGTGAGGTTGTGCAACTCCCTGCTCCCCATGGAGGGCTGCCAGGATCATTTGTAGGCCTGGATCCCTGCACCACAGCGCTGGGAAGATCCTGTGCATGCTACAGGGCAGCCAGGGAAAAGCCTGGAGCAGAATTAAACTTCTGAATAACTCCAGGGCAGTGCCCCAGCCATGAAAGCACTGCAGCAGGAGTCAGATGGGAACAGAAGGGTAATCCCAGGGATTCAGCTTGGAGCAGCAGGAGCTGCATTTCTCGGTGAAATCACATCCTTAAGGACAGCCAAACCTCCTTATCAGCGGTTTTATCTCAGGGGAGGCTTTGTCTGACCATCTTGGCGGGGCGGTTTTGCCTTTTCCAAGAGATCAGAGCAGCAATTAAAGCACAAACTTTTCAAGCAGGGCCTTAATTAAACCAGGGTATGTGCTCTGCTGAATCAAGGCCCTCAGGTGTTTTTCAGCCATTCTTTTTCTGCCAAAGGATGAAATCACATGCAAAGCTGCTGCTTTATCACAATGCTGGAGGGTCACCCTCAGCCTGAGATAAAGCCTCACCTCCTGCAATTTGTCACAAGCAGCACAACCAAAGCTACAGTGGCTGGCTGAGGAAGCACCAATTGCTGCTGCTGTCTGGGGAGCTGTGCTCTTGAAGTCCACATAAATTGTAAAATCAGATACAGTTTTAAAATCCCCCAGAGCCAACAGGGCACTGGGAAGAAATTCCCAAAACTCTCCATCACCTGACCTAAGAAAACAGAGAGGAGTGCAGATTCACCCAGTTCCCACCACTGTTTTCACCTTCCTTTTCCATTTTGCAGGCACAAGCAACACCCAGGATTTGGAGCATTTTTCTCCCACCATTTGGGGATGTGAGCCCAGTTCAGTTGGATAAAGAGAATAACAGCTGGTCTTGGCTGAGGGAGGCATTGTCACCATCGATTGGTATCTGGGGTGACATCCCTAAGGACATGGAGGGATTTGGGGGGACCTCGAGGAGCTCCCACGCAGTCACAGAACTTTCTGGATGTCAAGGATGACAGGAGCCCCGAGAGTTTTCAGTTCTGGACAAACAAAGCTCCTTCAAAGCACCTCTTGAGACTAGATAAAATAACAACTGCACTTAACTGATCTTGTTGTAAGGAGCCTCCTACTAAGAGCAGCTCCAGTCTTTGCTTTCAGCACTTCCCTGCCTCAGTCAGGAATAAGCAACTCCTTCAAACCCAACAACCTGGGAAATTTATCTTCGGTTGTGTCTGCATCTGCTTGTTTTGGCTGGGGCAGAGTTGATTTCCCTCACAGTAGCTGCTCTGGGGCTGTGTTTGGATTCGTGCTGAGCACAGGGTTGATAAGTTTGGGGATGTTTTGTTGTTGCTGGGAGCTCTGGAACTGAGTCAAGGCCTTTTCTGCTCCTCACAGCAGCACAGAGGGGGCTGGGGGTGCACAGGGGGTTGGAGGGGACACAGCTCCAGCTCACCCCAGGCCAGACAGCTCACACTTCCTGGGGGGAAGGAGGAGGAAAGGGGGGACATCAGGATGATGGCATCTGTCTTCCCAAAGTCATGTTAGGTGTGATGGAGCCCAGTTTTTCCTGGGGATGGCTGAGCATCTGCCCAACCATGGCAAGCAGTGAATTAATTCCTTGTTTTGCTTTGCTTTCTCTATTAAACTTTAACTCAACCCACCAATTTTCTCATTTTACCTTTGCAATTCTCTCTCCCAGACACAGAGAGTGGGTGAGTGGCTGTGGGGGGCTCAGATGCTGGGCTTAAACTGTGACCCTGCACATCCTGTGTTTGGGCAACACATGGTGATGTACCAGTTTCATTTCTGCAGCCAGTTTCTCCATGACTTTTTGTTTCTGGTTCTCAGCATGAGCCTCCCAGCACAGATAAATTCACTGACTTAATCTGATTCCAGCTGAGCTCTTTTAAAGTAAATCTATGGAAAATAGAAAATCCCTTTCTATTACTATTACTGCTAGGAATAGTTTAAAAAGAAAAAAAAAACACACATAAGTAGGAAATATTGAAGCAAAACAGAACTATTAAAAATATTAAGAAAGTTTCATTTACACAACAGATTTTTAGAGGAGAGAGATTTGCTCTGTGCTTTTTGAGGAAGCATCCACAGTGTTGTGAAGGACCAGAAGCCCTGACTAAACACAGCAGCTCTGAGCTTGATGCCACCTACAGATCCCTGGAGTGATGCTCTCTGTGTTTTCTGGGAAGGGAGGGAAGCCCAGGGAAGGGGGGAACCCTGCCAGATGGCTCCTGTGGCACAGCTCCTGCAAACAATCCTCGAAAGGCCAGGATCACGAGCTGGGGGTCATCAGGCCACGAGGCAGCTGCTCCATCAGCCCAGAGAAGCTCAACCCCTGCCAGGTGCCCTCCTGTGCCCTGTGTGGCCCTACCTGCCCATTCCCTGTCCCCGATGATGAGTCTGGCACAGGGCTGGCACACGCGATGGCTCCGCTTGTTCTCCTGCTCGTCGTGCTCCATCCTCAGCGGCTCTGCTGGGGGCTCGCGGCCCTGCGGATCAAACAGTGCCTCAGACTGGGCTCTGCCAAGAAAATTTGCCCCTGTTCACTTCCCTGGAGTTTGGGATGAGAGCTTGCCAGACTCAGACAGCGAGGCTGGCAAGGCAGGCAGTGGGGTTTTACCACGGGCAGCACTGGGCGCTGGGGAAATGTTCAGCTGGGACAACAAACTTCTGCTACTGCAAGGAAATGCCAAGGTTGGGCATGTGAACAGCCAGGCCTGCCTGCTCCAGGGACAGACTGTGTGCCAAGTGAGGGGGCCTGGAGACCACAGAGAAGTCAGTCAGTCAAAGCCCAGCTGCCCAGTACCTGGATGAAGCTCTCCACGATCTCCAGGGCAGGTTTCAGCACATCCTCCTCCCACCGCTGGAGATCAGACACCTCCAAGCCATAAACTGGGGGCACGTTGGGCCCAGGACCTACAGAAACACAGCGAGGCAGGTCAGCACCAGAAACCCTCAGCACCCTCTCCTAGAACCCAGGGGGAGCAGAGGGATCTGCTTTTTCCTATCAGCATTCAGAAGCCAACAGCAGAGCCAAAATCCAGAGCCAAAATTCTCTCCTGCAAGCAGCAGGAAGATCTCAGGACTCAGGGAAGCATCTTCACAGCTGCCTTTGGGAGAGTGTTCTGGAATGTGAGTGTGCCAACAGCTCATCACAACAGGCACCTCAGCCCAGCCCTGGTCCACAGGAGGCTGGGAGGATGAAAGAGCTGGATCCAGGCACAAAGCCACCACACCACGCTTACAAGGAGATGCAGGCATGGAGCCTGGATGAGGGATCTGAGCGTGCAGACTCCCAGTCAGAGCTGGAACTGATTGTACAGGAGCTGATGCTCCTGGCTCCTGGCAGGAGATGCTTCACTAATGACAAGGGACAGGTTCACAGGCACCCCTCTGGTCTCCCCTGGCCCAATGCCAGGGCACAGGGCACTTGCTGCAGCCTGGAAAGAGCTGCCAGCAGAGATCACCTGCTCCCTGGGCGACCTGGCTGCCCTCCAAGGTTCACCTGCCCTCCGTGGGCACCTGGCTGTCCCTGCCTGGACAAAGCCATCAAAGGCTCCACGTGCCAGTCCCCAGCAGGTGCTGGTTTTATTGCTGTGCCCACAAACAAGCCCCTGACAGGCCCATCTGAAGCACACCTGCCACCACAAAGGTGAGCCGAGCCACCCAGCACACGGCTCTGCCAAAACTGCACCTCCTTCAAAGTCCGTCTTCTTTTTTGACTCGAGTTTCTCCCTGCCTTCTCTTTTTTTTTTTTTTTTTAATTTTTATTATTTTATTTTATTGTTGTTTTGCCCCTACTGAGCACCTTTCAACAAGTGCCCGGCTCCCAGCTGCTGCTGCTGGCCCTGCTCCAAGGCTGGGGCTGGGATGGGGAAGTCCTGCTGGCTCCCTGCCACTGCACAGAGCACGGAGCAGCCACGGGGCTCCTGCTCCTAATCTGGAGGGCAGCTGTCAAATGGGATTTGCTCCCTGCCAGGAGCATGTGTGGGTGCGTGGGGACCCCCTCCCTGAGCCCCTCAGGAGCATTTGGCAGGATAAGCTGCAGGGATGTTGTGACCATCATCATCATCATCTAGCGGTGCCTGACATGAGGCTGAGCCTCTGCTTGGGATTTTATCCCTCCTGGTGGCACTGCTGCTGTGAGGGGATGGGGTACACAGGTACAGGAGGAGGAGCTGGCTCTTGAGCATCTCTCCTGTGGGCAGGACACTTCTCAGGAGGGGCAGGAGATCTGCTCTGCAACCCAAACCAGCAGGAAGGAACTGGGGGACGGGTGGATGGGGACACTGGGTGGATGGGGACACTGGGTGGCTCCTGGAGGGTCTGGGTGGGAGCAGACTCCCAAACACAGGCTGCCCCAAAGCACCAGAGTCCCCTCTGGAGCTGGAGTGGGGCATGAGGAGAGGTGGGAACAGAGGACTCACGTTTCAGGAAGCGGTTCCGCACCCATTTGTTCTGCCTCCGGGCGTATCTCTTGGTCACCTGCTTGAGGGCCTGGATCCCTTTGGAACAGAGGGATTAAATAAGAGAAAAAACCCCAAGGGTCAGTGAGAAGAGGCTGTCGGCTCCAGGGATTGGAAATCACACAAGAAAATAGTTTGTGCTGGGTGGCACCATGAGAATTATTTTTACTGTTAGGCTGGGGGTCTGTGCCTGCACTGAGAAGAGGCTGGACAAGGTACCCCAAACATCCCTGAATAAACAGAGGATACAAAGAGCCCAAACCCTCCACCCTGAAGCTTTTAGCAGGTAGGAAAACCTATTCAAGTGCTGCACTGCTCTCATAATGTCCAATTCTCTGCACAAATGGAGCCCAGGACTGCTCATCCCACCCAGCAGAGAATGATTTACCACTGTTCAATATTTAGTACCAGGCTTATCAAATCCCTCCTGGGCAGACACAACAAGCTCCTTCTGCATCAGACTTGTTTTCAAGCCTTTTATAATTTCTGTGGTTTCTTCAGTCTCCACTTCCACACTGAGCCCTCCTTGGCACAGATGGATTTTGCCTGGGTCCTCCCTGTGTGGAGAGCAGCTCCCCTCCAGCATCAGTCCAGCCATCCCAGAACAACACACCACCAAAGGCTGCATCCCTGCTGACTGATCCCCACATTCCTCACCCCCACAGAGCTGCTGACATGCTGAGTTCTGCTTCATTCCTCTTCCCTAGCCCTGCTCTCCACAGCACTCACACCCCAGCTGGGATCCCATCACCCAGGTGGGCCCGCTCCAGATCCCAAATCCTGCTGTACCCCGTGCATCCTGCAAGGAGGCCTGAGGGGAGGGAGGGGATGCTCTGGGTGTGCTCAGAGATGCTCTCCAATCACTGCAAAATGAGTCCCTGCCCAATCTGGGCTGGCAGAAGTGGGAAATGCAGAGAGAAAGGTGCAGCTGGGGTTGTGACCTTGGTTTAGAGCACCTTGTGGTGTCACCTGGAGCTTTTTGGGGCACACAGGGTGCTCCTCCCACCTTTTTCCAGCAGCAGGGCACTGGTCTCCGGTGAGCAATTCCCTTCACTGACGAGGTACTCGTGGAATTCCTTGAAGCCAATGGACTGGAAGATGCCGTGCTGGTAATCCTGCCTGGAGATCCAAAGGCAGGGGTCACAGTGGGAAACCTCCAGAAGGAGGAGCAGAGAGGATTTGGCTGCTCACCCACCGGTTCTCCGCCACCTTCTCCTGGTTGTAGCGGCGGTGGAAGTCGCGCAGCTCCTCCAGCAGCCCCGCAGCCACCATGTCATCCACCCTCTTCTCCAGACGTGCATCCAGAGCTGCAGGAGGAGAGCAGGACACGCTGGGGAGCCGTGTCCTGGTGGCTGCACAGCCTGCCAGGGCAGCAGGCAGCACTGCCAGGCTGCTGCTCCACCTGAGGAAGGCAGAGCCCGGCAGGTCAGGGAGTTCTCTGTCACACCCACTGATGCCAGAGGAATTGCTGCCTTCTCCAGGAAGCAGGAGCAGGGAGTCAGCCCTTCCTCAGCTCTCACCTGCCTGGTCTGCATGGAGCCACAGGATGCAGGAATGTGGGTATTTCAGGGGCCCACCTAAGGGCCCCCCACCTTCCTCCTCCTGCTGCTGGTGCAAGATTTCACTGTGGGGGATGCCTGTCTCTTCAAACACTTGGAGGCTCCTGGAAGCACAGACACACGGAGCTCAGAGGCTGGGTGAGAAGGAGCGTTCCCATTCCCCCAGAGCCCCGGGGGCTCCGGCAACACTCGCCGAGATCCAGCCCTCTCATGTGGGGGGAGGGCAGGTCCCAGCCCCGTCCCGTGCCCGGCATCCACGCACACCCAGCTCCTGGGGGTGCAGTGCTGGCACCCAAGGAGCCCAGAGCACAGCCACCCACTCCCGCCTCCTGGCACCGGGACAAGTCCTGCAGGGGACACGGATCTGGCTCCAGCCCTGCCTTTTCCAGCCAGGCAGGGCTGCGGGGAAGGGACCAGCGCTGAGATGCTGCTGTGGAGCTTTACCACCAGCCCAGCCCCACCCTCCATCCCCCTGCACCGTGCGAATGGGGTGGGCGGTGTTCTGCTCCCCGGGGCCAGGGCTCGGCTGGGACGGAGCAGCAAGCCTGGTCTTGCTGCTGCGCTGTTCCCACAGAGCTCAGCTATGTTACTCAGCCAGCAGGGCAGCTTGCTCTTTAAATAGCTCCAGACAAACCCTGCTGCTGCTGGGGCACGGAGGGGGAGCAGCCCCAGAGCACAGCCCAGCACCCCAGAGGCAGCCCAGGCTGGGGCTGTGTGGCCAAAGGGATCCCAGAGAGTCGCCAGCACTGGCTAAGAACCCAGGAGCATCTACCTGGGGTGGGAATGCTCATCCTGCCGTGCTGCCAGGCACACAATTCCCTTTGGGAAGGGGTGCTGGAGGCTGGCACCTCCTGCCCCTGGCACGCCGAGCTCACCTGGCCACCTTGCGCTTGTCGTGGGGGTGCAGCTTGGCCGCCATCTCCGGGTCCACCTGGCTCAGGCGCCGATGGAGCTCAGCACAGTCCAGCTGCTCCAGCTCCCCTTTCCTGTCACTGTCTGGCCTGGGAGCACTGCTGGGCTTCTCCTGTGGGGCACAGGACAGCCCTGAACCAAACCCTGTGTCAGCAGCAAGATCCCCCAGAGCCACGGGGTGAGGGAGGGGTTTTAGGTTCTCCTTGCCCCTCTCAGCAGGAAGTCTGCCCTAAACATGGCATTCATCCCTTCCCAAAGGGATTCACAGCCCCCCAACAGTACCTTGGTGTTGATAAGGACCTTCCAGAGCAGGGATTCGATGTAGTAGTTGGTTCCTCCCACAACAATGGGGATCTTGTCCCGGGCAAAGATATCTTCAATGTGCCAGAGTCAAGGAGTGTAAGCAGAGATGCAGAGCAGGGTGGGGATGCTGTGGGAGCAGCAGTCTGGGGCTCAGATCCCACTCTCCCAGCCCCAGGGACCAGTAAGGCTGCGGGACGGGGTTAGAGGTGTCCCTCATCTCTCTGTCACCTCTGCCAGCCACCACCAAAACTCGGGGACACCCCAGGATTGTTGGGGAGGGCAACACTCAGCACAGATCCTCCCTGGGCAGCCCCAAGCCCCTCTCACCAGCAGAATCTTCTGGAAAAATAGAGTCAGTTGGGATGTGGAGAGCCCACACACTGATCCCTCTGGCCATGGAGGGGGGAAGCCCATTCCTGCTCAGCCAGGCAGGCTGCAGCAGGACAGGATATCAGAGGCACAGCTTTGTCCCTGAAATCCACCACGGAGTAGTTGGAGACGAGGGGATCCACAAAGCTGATCATGTGGTGTCTGCAGAGACGCTGCTCCTGCGGGGAAACCTTGTTGGTGATGATGTCCAAGCCCTTGTACACCTGGGGAAGAGAAGAGCCTGTCCTTCACCTCTGTGTCCCCTGAGACCTGCGCTGACCACTTCCCCCTGTCCCAGTCACCCCTCCCAGCCCCTGCTGGTGGCTGGGGCAGGCAGCACAGGCAGGGCACAGGCAGGGGCACGTGCCACGTTCAGGCAGGGCAGCAGGAATCCTGCCAACACGTGCTCGTGCCAGGGCCACGCTGCCTCTCTCTGCTGTTTGTTCCTGCCCACGGGAGATGAACTGTGCAGTCCAACCGCTCGGGACTGCCTTCCTGCTTTGATATAACTGTAATTAGGGGTGGGAGGGCTGATTGAGCTCTTGGACAGCGCAGTCAGAGCCCAGGCAGTGTCACCAGACCAGCACAGAACTCCAAAATTAGGGCCTCCAAGCTGCCACCTCCTCATCTGCTGCTGCAGCTAAAAGCTCAGGTGTGCTGCTCTCCAAATGTTTCCAGCTCAGCACAGAGTCCCATGTGGGGACAAGGATCACTGCTTCCTGCAACACACAGAGATCTCTGTGGATGCAACTCACAACTCTGTGGAGCCTCCTAAACATGCACAAACAGTCTCAAAAAGCCTGTAACATGCTGCTTGCTTTCCCTGAGCCTCACGGATACAGAAGGCAGCAGGTCAGTGATCCCAGGGGAATGAGGAACTGTCCTGGCCAAGGTACCAGGAGACACTGGTGAGCACAACCAGCAGCATCTCACATGTCTTCATCCTCAAAATGGGGATACAAAACCTGTAAGAGCACTGCTGAGAGATGCTGGCCCTCAGCTGAGAGCAGAGCAGGGAGAAAAGCCACCCAAACCAACTCCTCTGCAGCGTTCCTGGTAAAGAGCCAAGGCAACCTGGATCCCAGCAGATGCACCAAGCCCACCCTCCAGGCTGTGTAAAGCTCAGCCTGCAGATCCAGGGGCTGCAAGGAGTAGAGCTGCCTCAGCTGGGTGTTCCACCAGCAGAGTCCTTCTCAGTGAGAGCAGATTCCAGGCAGGAGAAGGGAGCTCCTCACCCTGCTTGCCATGCAAACACAACCCTCCTCAGCACGGGCAGCTGGCAGCTCACAGTGGGGCACATAAAGCCTCTCTGTCCAGCCCAGCTCTGTGCTGTGCCCAGGATTGGGCAGGAGGTGGCAAAGGAGGTGCTTTGGAAGGATGTGTTTAGTTCTCAGAGCCTTCCTGCTTAAGAAAAGTCTCCCAGCATGGGATAAACCGGGATGATGGGGAAAAGGACTGGAAATGGCCGTACTCATTTCCTCCTCCAGAAACCACCCCAGCCAGACTACACGAAATAAATTTCCCCTTAATCCCCTCTGAGAAGCTGCCAAGCCTCCTGCTGCAGCACGGCCTCCACCCACTGCTCCCCTGGTCCCAGACAGGAGGACAAGGTGACACAGAGGTGACCCACGGGCACCGAGAGGCAGCGAGGGACGATTTGGGGTTAGTGGAGCAGGGAAGCCCCAGCCCTGCCTGGAGCAGTCATGCGAGCTGCTGGAGCTGCTGAACCAGCTCTGCTCCCACCTTGCTTCACTCCAGCCCTGGGAGAGCCAGGGCTGGCTCCTGCTCCCATCCCAAAAGGCTCACCCGGGGGGCAGGAAGCCAGGGGGAGAGGGAGGCCAACCAAATCCTGCAGAAAGGCAGCTGCCCCAGGGGAACGTGAGCAGGCAGGACGGGCCCACGGGCAGCTCTGCCAACGTGCCCCGTGGCTGCGGGCAGCTTATTGATCCCTGGGCTGGCAGCTCCATTCAACACGGGCTCCAGCCGGCACAGAGAGGCTTTGGATTCAGTGAGCTTTGGCTCCGTGCCTGCTCTCCCCATTTCCAACCCTCCAGCTCCTCCAATTCCCACTGCCTGCCTGCAATCACAGTGAGCACAGAGGGCTGAGGGAGCAGCTCCCGGTGCCCTGCACGGGCACATCGAGGACACACAGCTCAGGCTGCTGTCCCCGGCTTCTCCTGGAGATTAGAGCCTCCTGGAATATCTGGCAACAAGGGGAGGAATGCGGTGTCAGTGTGTGGGCTGGGAGGAAACAAAGGCAGCCTTTTACACACAGGCAGTAAGCCCTGAGAAGGTTTCCACCAGCTGGCTGTCGGCAGGGCCCTCGCACCGAGACGTCCTCCTGACACTCATTTCTATTTTCAGCCAGCGGCTCAGATAAGCCTTTGTTGCTTTCTAAGGCCCCAAAACAGATTAGCAGCAGCCTGGAGCAGCCAGGCTCCGAGACACGGAGCACAAGGCAGCACTAAAGATGCTTAGCCTTGACGGCGTCCTCCCACCTCTGCGCCGAGCCCCCGCGCCGGGCTGGAAGGTCAGCGCTGCCCTTAGGAAAAGGTGGGGAAACTGAGGCAGGACACACAAACCCCCGTGACTTTCAGCATCTGCAGCTCGGGAAGGGCAGGTTTTCTCAAATCTTTGTTCTGTCACTAGTTTTGTGCATCATTCCAAACTCTGTCACCATCCTCGCCCTGAGTGCAGGGAGTGTAGGAGGTGACACGAGAGACCCCAAAGACATCCAGGCCATCCACGTCCAGGAAAACATCAGGATTTCACAGCAGCCATGCTGGAGAGGGGAGTAGAGGACCCAAACCAAGTGAAGGTGCAAAGAGAGCACGACTGACTCCCTACCCTGATCCCTGCAAAGGCTCTGGAGATGTCCTGACTCCACACACTTGGCTGGCAAATGTGTGCTACAGCAACTGCATCACCATTCCCAAGGGAGAAATCCAAAAGGGATTCAGAAGGGACAGTGGGATGGTGACTGGATGGGGCCCTCATCAAGCTGGCACAAGGATCCCTGCATGTTCACCGACAGGAATGAAGAAACAGGACTGGCTTCACCCTGCCTGGCTCTCCAAGGAATTATTTACTCCTCGACCAAACTCACTGGGATGACAAACAGCAACAGAAAGGACAAAAAGAAAGATTAAGAGGCCAGCAGATTAAGCAGAGCTCCTGAGCTGCAAGCAGGCAGCAGTTAAGTCTGTAATTTGAGCACAGCGACTCAGAGCCATGACGAAAACACCCTGGAGATGGATAGAGGGGTGCCTGTGTGTGGGAACAGGTGGGCTCAGGGCTCCCCAGCCTGGCTCCCGCTCCAGCAGCTGCCCCAAAACACTGCCAGCATTTGTCAGCGCTGCTCGGAGCAATGAATGCACAGAGGGGGCTGAGGCTCGCTGGCAGCTGTCAATCCCCAGTGAGCCACGGGATTTCCAAACCCCGGCAAGTCCCCAGTGAGGACAGCAGAGCCATGCGTGGTGGGGGGACAAAGCCAGCGAGGAAGGAGCCCCGGCTGGGGGGCAGCGGGGCCGTGCCGGGGGCTCCCCCGCCTCGCCAGCACGCTGCATTACGGGATAAAGCAGCCGAGCTGCTCGGCCCTGGCTCCACAGTCACGCTAGAATGAGATTAAAAGGAAAGCAGGACAAGAGGCACTGGAGCCTGGATGCCTTGGGGCGCCTGCAGCAGAGTCCTCCTCGCATTCCCATGGTGGAGCACAAAACGCACGCTCCAAAATGCTCACCAGCGGGGGATTCGGCTCAAAAACATCCACCAGTGGGGATGCAGCTCTGAAACCTCCACCAGCAGGGATGCATGGGGTGCCAGAATGCACCTGCAGAGCTCGGGATGCAGCAGCAGCCTCGTGGCCACAGCACGGTTGAAGCCAGCAGCCGCTTCCCCAGTGTAAAATATGGGCAAAGCTCCCCCCTTCACGTTTTGCCCTCTCAGGATTTCAGTTCAGCTCAAGCCTCACTCCTTCCCCAAGAGCTTAAGGGAAATATTCCATGAAATTGCTTTCTGATTGCTTGCCCCAAATTCAGGAGACTGAGGTTTTAAATTTAGCTCAGTGGGACACAAACAGTGACCAGGAAAGAGGGAGGTGGGCACAGGACAGCGGGAGTTGCTTTCTGAGCAGCACAGAGGGTGTTGCTGGCAGAAAACACCTTTTTATGTAGAATAATAAACACATTTAACATTCAGCTTGATGGAAAGTTCAGGCACTAGAGGAAGTGAACAGTGAAAGTGTGGATCGGGAAAGAAAATATTTTGCTAAATAACAGCAAAATTGTTATTCTTGGCTGGAATGTCCATCCTGTGACAAAGCTCTTGTAGCTGAACAAAATTAAGACCAAAAAAAAGAGTTTTGGCTCCTCACTGTTGACTTATCCCAACCACACAACTGATATTTTCCACACTGCTGCTTGCAGTGAGAGATGAGACCACAGACACTGTCACTGGCAAGTAGAAAGTATAATTTTTAACACTTTCCCCCAAATCTCCTGGTATCCCTTTGCTGATGCCAGAGGATACCACCCTGTGTGATGCTCACTACCAAGTTACTCCAGCTGCTGCCTCCCCTTACATCTGTCTGTAGCTTCTGATGGGTTAAAATTAAAACACCTTCGCTCTGGTTTCATTCCAAAAGGTGAATTTATTGGGGGATGAGAGACTTAAATAAACACTTTGAACAAACTCCTGCAAACACAGGGCAGGGAGGGGGCAGAGAGGCACTGTCACACGAACCCAACAACCGCCCAGTGGGATGGGCACTGGGATTGGGGAACTGGGGACAGGACAGGGGCACTGGAGCTGGCACAGGAGCACCAGGATGGGCTCCAGGGCCAGGACAGGGACACGGGGACAGGACAGGGACACGGGAACAGGGACACTGGAGCTGGCACAGGGGCACCA